CCGATTTCTTCTCTTTCCAGTCGCCTCCCCAAGCCTGGTAGAGGCTAGCAAAAGAGCCTTTGCTTATAGAGGTGCAATGGGTTGGAATTACTCCCAGTTGTTAGAACTGCACTGTCTTTAAAACACTGTGTGCACAATTTCGTAACGGCTGACTGTCTACCCTTATGATCTGGCATGACCTCGGCTTCTATAATGAATTGCGATTGTAATATTGAAGCTTTATTCTGTCTTTGTCTTGTATACATATTATATTGAATAAAGGTATCCAAGGCCACTCTTTTAGGTAGTAAAATTGCGTAGTGCAGAATACAGAAATGAATGAGAAATAAATGAATAAAGGTAGCTAGGCGTGACCCTGAAGTTCAGATAGCAATGATAGAAAGACAGTGACTCTTAGAAATAAAAATTAGCATCACATTTATAGGAAAACTTTGCTGGACTGATGCATGACTTACTTAAAGAAACCCCGGGTGCAGGTAAAAGTCCTGCCCTTGACGACGAGCTGCAGCCTGTAGTCCTTCTGGTTTGTCAGGAGGTGGATGTTGTCGTTCCCCAGCCAGTGTTCCCCGTCCTTGTTCCCGAACCCCCGCTTGTACTCCTCCCAGGTACGGTTAAACGGAACAGTCCCGTCAATTCGACGCTGGATGACAGTCCAACCCCCGCCTGGGTAACACGTACAGGTTGTAAGTATTGTAGTACAAAATATTTGGAACACGCGATATATTTATCGTAAACGGTTCGTTTCATAACAACGCTCGAAAAAATGAGTTATCTACTCAATTTCAATTCAATTTATTCATTTAACCAGTAATTACAGCTCAGGCCATTTTGGCCTGCTTTTCAGGTAATCCTGGATACACATGAAAATACACACGACAAATACAGAGTACATAAACTATTACTAATTACAACATCCTAAACATCAACAGTGTGAAGTCCTGCACCTAATTCTCTATATAAAAGTCCTGAGTGAGTCCTAAGTATTGCTCCTAATGATCTGTTTAAAAGTCCTGAGAAGTTCTGCTTCAACCCAAATGTCTACAATTCATTTTAATTACGCTAAACTTAAAGGCAAAGGAAAAGCTATTTAAAAATGTGGGAAATAACATCTTCCATGGTTTACAAAAAAGTCAGACCCATGAAACATAGTTTTAAACATAATTCTAAAGCAGATCTTTTTGTGGCTGCTGTACAATATCAAATTTATAGGACAGTATTAAAGCTGGTTGTGTTGTAATCAGTACAACAAACCGCGTGTTTAAAAAATGCCAGTATAAAAAAAGGCCGATTGAAACTGTATAAAACACGATAAAAATAAGCCAAAGATTACACTCCTACTTGGAGAGTATACCATAGCCAAAAATCAATTTTAATGTGGTTAGAGCAGGCTGCCTTTAGGGCCCTAGATAATTTTCTGTCACGCAGCTGAACAGACCGGCCCGTAGGAGTGTTCAGTCTGTGAGTCGATTAGCCTCATCACTGTAGCGGGGCTATCAAACTCCCGTCGTACAGAGCCACCTGGTAACAAAGCTGAATCAAGCGGGGAAGAGCTTCTGCTGCTCCGAAGAGAACCCGCCTTAACCACGATATACTGGACACCAGTATGGTGTAGGGTGGCTTAGTGGTAGATCGATCGACTATAAAGCGGGGAGACCCAGGTTCGATCCCGAGTTGTACCTGGGACATGTCTGGACATGCGCCCCGACGTTGTGCACCTGGGAAAAGAACTTTACACAACTTTCCTCACTCCACCCAGGTGTGAATGGGTACATAAGTTGGGGAAAGTCGTATTGAGGTCATCTTGTGGCGTCAGATGGCAGTCGCACAGACCCTTGCGACAGTTTCACAAAAAAATGTGG